CCTTTAAAATCCGTATTAGTATTTCTGTTATTGGACTTTTGTAAGTTTTGTTCATAAGAGTGTGGAGTTTAATTGACCCCAAACAAAAGTGACATCGACATGTAGGCCCATACTGCACGTGTCTTTGTCTGTGAATGACTTTTTGACAAACATAAGCAATACTTTTTTCTTCATATTTCCTTATTTGTTATAATAACATCATCATAGAAACATCATGCTTCATGGTGGTTACTGTAGCCTATTTTGTCAACTTGTTGATGTAGAAGGGATGGGTCACCACATCAGTACTCATCCACATATTGTCTTTTAATAGATAGATAGATAGATAAGATAGATTAATAGATAGATGAAGATAGATAGCTAAAGGTAGATAGATTAGATAATACTTTTATTTATACCCCGAGGGAACGTATTCAGTAACATACGAAACATACATACATTAAACCTACATTCAAATCATATTAACTTATAACACAGTAGCCACAGTAAACAGTGCAAAACAGTAAACAGTGCAAACGGAGTGCAAATGGAAGTAAATAGTGCAAATGGAGTGCAAATGGAAGTAAACAGTACAGATGGAGGTAGAAATTGTCCATTGAATAAATGAATAAAAACTAATAAAAGATAAATCCATGTTCAAATATAAAAACAGAACACACACACACATATATACATATATATACAACACATATATATTTTATATAAACATTGTCAACATCAAACACAGCGCGCTGCTCTCAACCAATCACAGCGCACCATCGCAGAAGAGGTGTTTTCCTGTGCGACACCGACGTCACGTCCGCTTTCTCGCTGCCCAGACGTTTTGGAGAGCAATGGCGGCGTGCCGGGGATCTTCGTCGAAATGGTTTTTCACCCGGGAGCAGCTCGAGAGCACGCCGTCCCACCGATGCGGAGTAGAGCCGGACCGAGAGCTCTCCTACCGGCAACAAGCGGCGAATCTGATCCAGGACATGGGTCAGAGGCTGAACGTGTATCCTTTTGTAAACAAACTTAAACCCTCAGCTGGAAGTCGACATGGCGCTAACGCTGCCGACGGAGGGCCTGTTACCTCCAGCTTCGTTTTAAACTGCTGAGCTTAGACAGGCCAACAAATAAATAGCTTTTCAAAACGTTATGATATTATATATATTTTTTGTGGTTGTTGCGTTGGTCGAAATACTATTCTGCTATCTAAAATCTGCAGTCGCGATATGAGAGTTTCATGTTTAGCCATGCGCTAATGAAGGTGGGTTGATGTCCAAAAGGCCATTAAGAGGCGAGTGTGCAGCTGTTGCCAGCTCCTTGTCCACTAACGTGAAATAGATGTAGCCCTCGGCTCGTTAGAGGTTAGTTAATCAAATAACGAAATTAGAATACATACACTAGTGTATAAAATTGCTATTTGACATTTTCGTGCTATTTTGATGTAAAATAAAAGCCTGCTACACACTGTTAACTTTTATTCACTACATTTCAGTTTTCAGAGAGTTGTTTAGTGCTAATACGTTGAGGAATGGTGTCGGTGTTATGTAAATGTGCAAATGTTCCTTGACCCTAACCCCCTCCAGCTCTCAATTAACAATAAATACAGCCATCGTTTACATGCATAGGTTTTATATGCACCACTCGTTCACCAAATTCCACAGGAATGTAAGTATGCTGTTACATGAGGCTGGTGTTGACATGAAACCTGTAACCGCGTGTGAGGTGAATTGTGTTGGAGGTACCAGTGTTAGTAAGGGTGTGCATTAAAGTGTCTTGATGCTGTTGTGCAGATAATATCTCCAACCACCTTATTCTTGGCCGCAAAAGTGGAAGAACAACCTCGGAAACTCGAACATGTGATCAAGGTTGCACATGCTTGCCTAAATCCCCAAGAACCACCTCTAGACACAAAAAGCAATGTAAGTTCAGAGAGCTCTGCATGTTTTATGGTTGACATTTCACCTTTCTACATGTGAGTTTCCAGTTCTCTCAGTGGTCCTGGTCTTCATATGTATAACTGGCTCTTGAAAGGGACTCACTGTTACACCCAACGAGGCTCATGTGAATCGTAAAAATAAGCTTAATTGTTTGGCGTTTTTTGGCCATTTGAAATTGTCAGGGGGGACAGATTTATAGACTCATTACAGTTGTGTTGTAATGACTGTCTATCAAACTTCAGGCATACCTCCAGCAAGCTCAAGAGCTGGTGATACTTGAATCCATAGTGCTGCAGACCCTGGGTAAGTAGTGGTGACTGGAATGGATGTCTTGAGAGAGAGAGAGAGAGAGATAGCGTTTTGTTCATCATAGTCATTATCTTTGGCTTGTCGTTATCACTATGGGAGTAATGCTATTGGTCACTGTTTAATTTATTCATCACAGCCTGTTGAGTACACTGTTTTATCAGCTGCTGTATGGGTATCTTGTCATGTGCATATTTTCAATAAATCATGTAAAGGTGACATGTCATTCTATCATTGCCGACATTAGTCGCGGAACATGGTATTCATAAGACTTTTTAGTTTTATCGGATTTCTCTGCTGTGCAACATTTTATGGCTACAATTTGTGATTGCTTATTGATTACATTACATACTGAGGAACGTGTGTCCAAGTAAGTGATCAGAGCTGATTTGGTTGCCTTTAATTTGTTCCGTACGTATATGAATTGATCTCCAAGTTCCACTAATCATATTGAACACATAGATGCCATACTACAATCTGAACTGCCTTAAAATGGAGCGCTAGATTTTGTTTGTTTAATCGTAAAATGACATGTCACCTCCCAACTGTGTCTGTGTTGATCTCACCTGTCATGTATTTTGTTCCAGGCTTTGAAATTACTATTGATCACCCACACACTGATGTGGTGAAATGTTCCCAGCTAGTGCGAGGTAGAGGCTTCCTTCTTTGCTCTTTGTGCCCTCTACTCTTGTTTGTCCCACCTCAGATGTGGGTGGGGAGGGGGGTGAAAACCTTGCTGATTTAATGGATACATGACCCACACACACCTTGCTCTTCTCATGACCTGAGTTCATTGTATGACATAGCACATAAACAACATCATCTACTGAAACTTATAAAGCCAAGTCCAAGACTGAATTGTAATCGTTTGCCATTTCATTCTGTAACTTAGAAACTGACAGTGTCAAATGAGTGGATGTGGATGGCATTTGCGTTGTGTATCTTGTGTGATCACATAACCAGCACTGGGAGGAAATACACTGGTCTTTTAGCCTACATCTGTTTGTTTAAGAAGGTTCTTGGGTTTCCAGAGGCCTTTTTCACAGCAGACAATTTTAAAAGCCCAGTGTTACCAATAACATTAACAATGGCTCTGTTCTATTCAAGTGTGACAGTGAGCCAGCTGGTACAATAACAGGTCCACAAAACTAAATGAAATTCAGCCGTTTTATTATATACAGGTCATTTGGCTCGTCAATATGTTTGAAGGCAGTGCTTCAGTGATTAAGAAGAGTACATTTTGGATATGGATATATATCAGAATATATACACAAAACCATGTGTACATTATTCACATTGCTGTGCAGTGCAATGAACTTTGATTCATTGTTAAACAAAGCATTCAGTTGTGTTTTAATTTGGTTGCAATTGTTATTTTTGCCAAACTGAGTATTTGTAAAATTATAACGTAATGTGAACATGGTACAGTAATTCTTTAAGTGATTCACACATATTGAATTATCTCTATAATTAGCGCTATTTTCAGGCTTAATTTGTAATAATCACAGAGCTTAATGGAAGTTTTAGTGAGTGCTGTTTTCAGTCTTGGCCTTGGCTTAATCAGTGCATTAAAAATAATCTAAAAATAGATAAATATCCAGCTCCTGGCCTCATGATAATAAAATGCTTTTGCTCTTGCAGAAATGGTAATCCCCTTTCCCCTTCCCTGTTTTCTCTTTTCTGTCTCTCTTACAGCAAGCAAGGATCTGGCACAGACTTCCTATTTCATGGCTACCAACAGGTTGTTATCCTGCCCCTCCTTTGTTGCACTTTGACTGCACACCATAGCTTCCTATAATGCAGGGTACCCTATCAGTGTCCAACGGGCCCTACTTGCGCTGGTGGTTGTTGGGATGCTTGCCTCCTCCCCTCAGCTCCCCTCCCTTGTTCAAAGGGAGCGGGACAGGGTGGCTTGTAGCGTTACCGGCCCCAGTCGCAGTGCGGTGTATTGTACAAGGGACCATGTGTTGGCACAGATGGGTTGAATGCAAGATGTGAAGTGTAGTGGTGCGCTTGAAACCCACATGTTTGTTCGGTTGCGAAAAAGTGCATAAGTCTAAAAGAAAGACACTTTGGTAGCCTGAATAGCAGCTAAAGATTTCACAGATGTAAACATTTCTCGTAGAGGTCCTTCCGGTAAGTACCGCAAATTCATTTTTACAATGTTCTTTTTCATATCCATTTGTTTAAAATGCATTATCTCAAATATTTTTCATCTTTTACAATATTTGCTTGTCTGAAATATATAACTTTTTCTCGCTCTTCTACAACATTCTTTCATACATGTAGCTCATGTAAAAGATGTGACTAGAGAAAAAACTTAATTACGACCCATTAAGGACCTGCAGAATATGTAATATATGTATGAGCGCATCTCATACTGATCTGAATGCATTTGGTGATTATGATTTATTCTAAAATGTTCTTCTAGACATGTGTAGTAGTAAGAAAACTGGGTCCTTAAAGGGTTTGTTAATAGACGGTGGTAAAAAAGGAATTCATATTAATTTAATTAACTTGTCTTCGGTAACTTAAAATCAGTTAATGTCTGGGGGCTGACTGTGAGCGCCAATGAATGTTCTTAGAATAGCTCGATACTCTTTAGTTTAATTTTGTCAACAGGACTCATTCCTAATTGATTTTAGACACCTATGTCCATCTGAGCTGGTTTTGAAATGTTGTCATTAGCCAAATGCTTGTAAGTGTTGGCTGTGTCTGATAGCGTTGTTCAGTGCTGCCGTAATCTTGCAGACCAGACTCCAGACATTGCTCTTGTCTCACGGTACAAGGTTACCATCCAGCTCTTAACAAATGTGTTTTAAAAGGCAGCAGTACAAAGTTATGGCCAGTTCGGTTTATGTTGAGACATATTGTTAGTAAAGTGGTGTTGATTTACTTACTTTTATGCATTCATGAGATCACAATTGTATATTCCTGGCTTATGTGTCTAGTTAAATGGTTGTGGGGAACCAGTTTCCATCCTAAAAAACAAGCAAAGTGCTTGTTATTCTTCTTAGTTATTCTTTGGGACTCATCATAGGTGAACTTGACAGCAAATCAAAGCCTTTGGTGGCTTTAGGAGCAGTTTGTGTCTATATTTTACCTGTACCTTTATTGCTTTTGATGTTATCTGAATATGTTGTACTGTATAATTGTGATGTAACCTTGCATTACTCTTCACTCTGCACTGCAATTCCACTGTAGAACAATGTTACACTTTATGAAATGGTTTTATCCTTGAGTCACAGGTGTTTGTTCTATTATATTTAATGTAGGAAGGTTCTCAGTATTGAGACCATGCGTACACTTCAGGGCTCACTAGGTTTATCCCTTTCAGCGCAGTCCAAAGAAAGAGAATCGAGTACAATGATGCAACTGTCACATGGGTTCAGTGTTTCACAATTGGCAGGCTACACGTAGCCCCCTCCCCACCTCCCTCATTTTTGTTATGATGTCCCAGCTTTTACACCAGCCTTGAAACATGAATCATTGTTACATAACACAATTCAATGGTTACTTTAACGAAGGAATTATATTCTTACATTAAATCACATGAATCATAAAGTTATTAGCAATGTCATCTGTATTGTGACCCGAGTTTGAAAATAAGAAGCTGTTAGATTATCAGACAGATTAATGTATCAGCACAATCAAATAATAACTTAATTTTGCCTAAATTAAAGCGGTCTGCTCCCTCTTGTGTTTTTCTCTTTCTCTTCTCCCACATGTGGAACCGATCGTGACGAACGCCTGGCCTGAATCAAATTACTCACATACCTACAAACACCTCACATATGTAACATATTCACTCTCTACACACACTTGCACATGCCTTCACACACTACGCAGTCTACACCTCACTACCTTCTGCCTCCAGTACAAGCCCACAGTGATCGCTTGTGTGTGCATCCACCTGGCATGCAAGTGGTCCAACTGGGAGATCCCAGTGTCCACTGACGGAAAACACTGGTGGGAATACGTAGACAACTCTGTCACTCTCGAGCTGCTTGATGGTGAGAATAAATTTGTGCGCTTCCATAATTGATTACAGTGAATTCATTTACAGTTTCTTTAAATTCTATTTAGTAAGGTTTTCTATATGCTTTGTTTTGTAACCATGTTTACTTGGGGTCATAGATTTACATTTTGTATTTTAGAAAAGAGGTTGCATTGTGTTATTTTAGCAGCAGAAGTTGAGGCTTTTTCATAACAATATTCATGTCTTGTTTTTATAGAGTTGACTCACGAGTTTCTGCAGATTCTGGAGAAGACGCCCAGTCGATTAAAAAGGATACGCAATTGGAGGGTAGGATACATTGCTGTCTTGGTTCATGCATTGAAAAGATGTGGAATTTTTATTTTGATTAGCACAATTAAAGTTTTGAATTAAAGTAGATGGTCTCAACAAAGCACTATGTCATCTTTAAACCAGCAGGAAGTGTGTAGTTTGGCAAACAACCATATGGCAATATTGGTGGCAGTGTTAAAATCACAAATATTAACAGAACAGAAAGCCTGCTACATTCGTTATTTGTCCCACCGTTGAACCTCGTTCACAGAACTAATGGTAAACGAAACTCGAGTTCTAAACATCATCATAAATCTTTCTACCCTTTAGGCAACACAAGCTGCCAAAAAGCCCAAGACTGAGAACAGTCAGTTGACGGACAACTCCTTTGCTGGGCCTTCCATGCTCCATGATCAAGGCGACGCCCCCCTCTCTGGACTCTCATCCTCCAACCCAAGTTTTTCCAAAGCAGGCGCCTCCTTCACTGCATCCCTGTCACTGGACAGCTTGGCTGGCACATACAATCCAGCTAGCCACAGTGAGTGGCCGCAGGGCAACCAGAGCCTAGCAGGGTACCCTTCCGCCTGTATAAAACAGGAACCACTCAGCATCCCTCTCCAAGAGCCCACACTGTCCTTGCAGACTTCCACTTTGCTTCAGCATGCGCCAGTCTACAGGACTGACAAAACAGGCTTCAGCCCTATCAAACAGGAACCAAAAGGAACTGCTGGGAGCGGGGTTGGCAAGCATCAGCCACCACCTCAGTCTGCCTACCTTCCACCAGCTCAGCCTCCTGCACCACAACCTACTCCAGCTCAGAAGCTATCTCTGGACAAATACAGAGAGAAACATGCTGCAGAGCTGGCTGTCTCTGGACAGAAACGTAGTCAGGGGCAGCACGGAGGAGTAATGGATTGCGATGTACGGGGGGATATGTCGTCTTCCTCCTCTTCTACCTATGCACCATCCTTTACGAGCCAAGTAGACCATAGAAAACATTCACAGCCCCACCAAACATCACACAGTGGTGGTGGCAGCACCACTGCCTCCCCAATGAAAATGAAAGTTCCTTCCTCCTCAGCTTCAGGGCAAGATAGACGTCATCACAGTGACAAACGGGACAAAGGCTCACTTAAACTCCGCCTGGCTGTTCCTGGGTCTGGTGGAAGCTCCCAGTTAGATAAAAGCGGACAATCAAGCAAAGATGAGCTTAAGATGAAAATAAAAGTTTCTTCATCAGATCGCCACAGCTCATCAGATGACAACAACAACAAGAGTAAACATTCCAGCCCTCTTGTCAGCAAGGAGAAGCAACATCGTGGAGCAGACCACAACCTCCATCGCCACCACAAGCACAGTCACCCTCACGCACACAGCGGGAATGGACGAGGAGGCCCAGAGGGCCCAGGAGGCCTGCTGCGGGGTCCTCCAGGACTGGTCAGCACGGATGGGACTGCGCTCGCTCCTCCCGGATCCACCTCTTTGTCTTCATCCTCGTCGCGCAAGAGGGTGTACCCCGAGGCGAGCCACAACCACCACCCTTCCTCCTCATTCTCCACTTCTTGCTCGAAGGTGAGCAAAATCTCCAAGGGTGGCACTGGTGCTGCAGGTACTACATCTTTTTCTTTCCCCTTTTTTCCTCCTTGCTCCTCTCCTGTACTGCAGTGTGTCTCGTCTGGCTTGCAGCTCTAAGGCTAACCTCCCCCCCCTCCCCCCTCCTCCTCCTTATTCTTGTTTCTCCTCCTCCCCTCCTGTCACACCCAGGTGGGCTGCGGACCTCTCAGCAGTACCCTCCTCCTAGTGAATCGCCACATGAAGTGGGAGAGCAGAGACACTGAGTCCACCACTCTGCAGCCATGGTCTGCACATGGAAATGACAACAAACTACCCACAGACTTTGAAGACTATGCTCACCTCCCTGTTAAGTGCCCTAGGAAAATAACTTTGTGATGATAAACCCTTTACTGAAAGGCAGAAAAATGTATCTGCAAAAAAATGAAAAGTATTGTTGGACTTCTCAGTTTCTGAGAGACAAAAAGATGAAAAATTATGCTTCCTGACTGTCAGATCTCTGGGTTTTGATGCTCAGTCCTGTCTTCTGTTAGTGTGTTTAATTGCTGCTTGGTTCTCCTCCCTCCTCAAATGAGTCTCTAGGAATGTGCAAAGGTGGGTGTGTGTTTTCATGGGGTGGTGGGGGGGGTGCTTTCCTATATTTCAGATCTCCATATGGGGAAAAAAGTATTAGTAAGTACTATAAAGGCATGGAAGGTGCACTTTCTTCATTTCCCCCCCTTTTTTTTTTAAATGAGCAATTTAATTGAATCACATTTCTGCAGTTGTATGGAGGAAGCCAGTGGCCAGCTGGAGATGAGTTAAAGTTATGTTTGCTGGCATTCCATTTAGTACTGTTGATGGATGCATATTTTTTTTTTAGGTGTAAAGTTTCATCTCCTCAATTACTTTCTTGTCTTGATTTCTTTTTATACTTAAGTACTGTGCGTATAATTTGCATGTTTCAATCATCAAAGGGATTTCAAAGGAGAACGCATACTTGCTGTTTACAGAAAGTGGAGATAAATGTACATACGTTTTTGTATGTTAGAAGAAAAAAAAAAGCTATACCATGACTACTCAGGTTTGGAGCTGCTTGTAAGTATAACAAGATAACTATAATACCTATAAAAGACTTATTTTGTTGATCAATGGATTGGGCATCATTGGGTGAATGATTGCAGCATTCCAGTGGTGTGTGCTTCTTACAGCCTTCCTAAAGAGGGTGCTGTACTGTGCTTTTCCATCACAGGAAACATCAGTTGATGCCCTTGGTAACACCGGCACATCCAACACCTACTTATCACATCAGAGCGATGCAATTTTTACCAAAAATTATTTTTTTGGACCTCCAAGTAGACCTTAAGCTGGATGCCAAAGGTTGTGCCTCAAAAAGAAGAAAAACTGACAAAGACAGTCGTAGTGTGCTATTAAAGTTTACATAACTCTTTTTATTTTGAAGTGGATCAGACATAATTTCATGACATGAAGCTGTAGCCCTTAGATGTCAGCTCATAAAGGGAGTACATATTACAAGTATTATTGAATCAACCACACACAAAAAAGCAACTTTTGGCGCTGTTACATCCCAGAAACACTTGTCAGAACAGTGACCAATTAGCCATATGCAACATGACCTGCTGGATAACTCCAGTATCTGCGAGATTGACGTCCCTAATAAGTTTTGTCACTGATGTCCATCATATTGGTTGAATTTACATTTACAGACATGTACCTGTCCAGACACATCTTTACATTAGTTTCCTACATTAAACTCTATATTGTTCTCAAATCCCCTCTGTTCTTGACTGGGTTACTCGTTTATTTTTAAAATACACAATAAGACTGAAGCTGGATGGTTTGTACCCTCATTAGTGATTTAGATTTGTGGGCACAGAACAAAAGCTGTTGTGGACAAATGAGCGTAAGCCACTCCTTACAATCTTTTTTTTATTTTCATTTCAATATTGCAAATAAACTTTAAAGTTGCCACTACCCTGACACTTTATAAACTGGTTGTTGCCGTCATTGTATTATGCATATATACATGTTTCTAAGTATAAAGAAATTACTGATTTGAATATGAGGAGACAGGCTTGTGCAGTAGCTTATATTGATGCAAAGTTCAATGGCATGTCTCTTCAACCATGATTTTACACACTGATTCCTCAATAACTCATCAGAGGAAAGCTAACAGCACTGAAAAATGTAGGTTATAAGAATGAGCTTATAATGTATGTTAAAATGTGGTGGTGCTGCAATATGTATTAGACACATTTTTATCAAAACCTAAACATCACACAGCACAGACACCTGGAGTTACACTGTACACATAAATTTATGGTTTGAATAAGATTGGCACAAAATTGCTATAGGAAATACCCAGTCAGTAACAAAAATCTGGCATCTATCGCTTCACATTTTATAGGTTCTATTAATGTACCAAATGTAACAAGTGAAACGTATAAAAGTGCTTCTCAGTTCCTTTCTTCAGTTTCTTCTTGGTGATAGTCTGGGACATAAGCCCACTGCCCCATGTTCCCAAACACACTAATGATGCATCAGGGGGGGATAGGTGGCAGGCCCTTAAAGGGTCACAAAAAATACTTGAATTTGAATCACCAATCTGAATGAAATCATTTAATGTCCCGTTAAACTAAAACATATTCTGTTTCGTGTAAGTCCTTGTTAACCACACAGTCCCTCTGGGTGACCACAGCAGTTCTTTTTCTGTGATTCCTAAGAGTTCACTCCGGTCTCATTTTGGGATAGGATGAACGAATGCTTCAATAGCTGGTCTGCAGATGGCCGTAGTCTCTGGTCACTGAAAATAAATGAAAGTAAGGGAACTTTTTCCAAAACATGTCTATAAATAGAAAAGCATGCACTGAATTAGGTCTACAGGTCTCACCTTGTCAAGCAGATTTTCACAAAATCCTTGGCGTTATCCGAAAATACATCTGGTAAAGAGGGCATCAACCCTCTTCGTGCCCCAATGTAGAACAAGGCAGCCATCTTGTCCATGTGTGCCAGTGGTGGTTTTCCTGTGGCCATCTCAAACACTGTGCAACCCACACTCCATATATCTGACTTCCTGCCATATCCTGTCTCATTGATAACCTAAGGAGAGGAAGAGATGCTAAGAGTCAGACAAGATCAAATTATAAGTCCAACTGACCAATGAAATCAACAGAATCTACATCTACCTCTGGTGCCATCCAGTATGGCGTGCCATGGACAGACTTGAGCAGATCTCCACTGTTGCTAGAAGTGTGGTTCAGGCAGCTGAGGCGGCGTGCACAGCCAAAGTCTATGAGCTTGATAACGCCAGTGGGCATCAGCATGATGTTGTTTCCCTTCAAGTCACGGTGTATCACCCTGTTTAGGTGAAGGTAGTCCACCCCTTCCAAGATCTGCTGGGTGTACAGAGCCAACACACGCTCTGGTAAAGGACCAAACCTGAGGCAGTAAAAGGCACAATGTGTGTTAAAGGTTAGTAAAGATCATTTATTGACCCTGCTATGATCTTTTGTCACAAATGAGGCAATCATAAAGCTAAATGTTTTAACATACTTGGTAAGTTATCAAGCAGTTTTGAATCAACCTAACCTGTGCAGGATGCTAGCGATGGATCCTCCAGGTATGTATTCCATGAAGATGGAAACCATATGCTGATAAAGTGAGGTCCCCAGGAAGCCCACAATGTTGGTGTGTCTAAGGGTTTTAAGCAGCTCCACCTCCCCCTGCAGGCGACTGTACTCCTTCTTTGCAGCGTCAGGGTCAGAAGCATCCAGGGTCACCTGCTTCACAGCTATCAGCTGGCCCTGACTGGTCAGGCCACAGTACACCTGGTGAGAAGGGAGCAGTGATTTCCAGGGTTTGTTGAGCATCAATATCTGCTGCTATATGCATTATGATTTTGTGTAAAACTGATATAGAGTGCATTGCTGTATGACTAGATGACCATGAAAGCTTCAAATAACTCTAATGTGTGTTATTAGCTTTACTTTGTTATTCTAAATGAGCATACTTACTGTCCCATAGGCTCCCCTGCCGAGTACTTCCCCCTTTGTCCATGTGATGGTGTCATCTACAACCAACCCAGAGCCAAGCAAAGCAGCACTGTATGTTGAACCAACCTACGATAAAATACAACAAAATAAACAACTAGGTCTCTGAGGCTTTAGTGGATCAGAATAATCTGGTTTCCCAGGTTTAAGGTGTTGAATTGTTAAGTAATGTTAAGTTGATTTTTAATAAATTAGTAGGCTACATTTGAACGTCATAATATATTCTTTGTAAGAGATTGTAAGAAAATTGTGCCATAACCATATGTTTCCAGGCCCTCGCCAGGATTATCTTGACTTGGAGAAACACCTGTTCCACTACATGCCAAAATAATATGACTGTTAAACTGGTACCGCTTGTTTTGTCATGTAGACCGTAGCCAACCATTGGCTCTAGAGCCTTTGCATTTTTTGTGAGTTTCATGGCCAACATAGCTTCTCCTACAAGTTTGGAAGGCTGAGCTTTATTCAAATGGTTGCAATTTGCAACTTCACCACTAGATGCCACTGAATCCTACACACTGGTCCTTTAAAGGAGCTTCTAATGTACATGTCCCTGTACACATCAACAGAACCCTAACAATTCCCTGTGCATGTGTAAAAGTGCACTTTACTGTTTTGTTTGTTTTGTAACTATTAACTATATTTCAAAGGAAGGCTGAAATATAATATATGTATCAATTTAGTAGTTTGGTTTTTAAAAGAACATAATTGAATGAGTAGAGATAGTATATGAATATGCACTGTTCCAAATCACTCTTAATCATGGCCATATTAAATTGTTATAATGACAATAGTTTACCTCAGGAAATGTATTTCTTCTTGGTACCGGATCGTATTCTCTGTTGTAATCCTGTTTGCTTGGTTCCAGGTTCTCAGGACATGGGCCTATGGATACATCCCTCTCATCCAGTGAGATCAGCTCCTCAGCCAGACATTGCAGCAGGTCATCTGTAAGTGGCCCTTCCCCCACCTCATCCAGAAACCTCTGGTAAACTGGTGACATAATGGTTTGGCTTCTGCTGCTAGAAGACGTCCAAGTGTTGATCTTTGGCTGTTGGGGGCTTTGAGATAACGCAGACTCAGGAACCAGTCGGTTTGTGTTTCCTTTTGATGAATTGTCTTTTTCTTTTGTGTGACTGTAGTCTTCAAGATGAGATGAAGTTGCTGCTGTAGTCATTTTGTTATCAGATTTTAATGTTTCAGACCCGTATCTAGAAAGAGCCTCCTCTATGATAGATAACAAATGATCATCAGCCTTTTCATGAGCACTAGTGCGATTAGTGTCAACATCATTGGAGAGAACTAACTCAGTCTCTTTGTGCTCCCCCACATCCTTAATTTTGTGTGGGCCCTTCTTTGATACAGGTGTGAGGTTATGTTTCACCCTAGAGGATGCAAGTCTTGGTTTGCTTTTAGCTGAAACCACCATTCTCTCCCCCGGACTTCTCTTCAGTTTACTCTGTGCTTGTTTCAATGGTCTGTGTTTGACTTTAGCTGACTGCACTTGCCGGTCCTTCACTTTCTCGCAAGAGCTGGAAACTCGGAGGTTATCGAAGATAGGACCAGCAAACATCTCATAGATGGCTGGTCCTTCCTCCCCACTCTGTATCTGCTGAAACATGTCTTTGTAAGTGATGAAGTCCACAGCAGATTTAGACCTTGGTGTCCCTGCAAGACCGGGTCTCTTCAACTGCCGGATGCTCTTCAGCTCCCTCGCCGGTGAGTGCTGTTGAACGCTGTTGCTGCTCAACTTGTCAGGATTTGCTCTTTTGCTTTGTGCATGATCACTCACTTTCTTTCGTGGGGATGGGGTGCCAGTGTTGCAATGAGCACTTTTAACAGATTTAAGCTTTGGTTTTACCTTTGTGACTGTCTCTCCATTAATTACTAGGTCAGGGGTTTTCCTGGTTTTATCTTTAACTTGTGTGGAAAGTGAGGAGTACTTCAGATTGCTTTTGGACAATTTATTTAGGATGCTTCTGTCTTTGTGCGCTAGCAAGGACTGCTGGTTCGTTTGAATAGTCATACAAATGCTGGTTCGTCTCTCCTTGCTCCGGATAGGCTTTAACACTTTCAACACCTTCTCGTCTCTCTCCTTCATGTCTGACTGGGGATGGGTTACAGCTGAAGTAAATAACTCAGTTCTCTTCTCAGCAGTACTAGTATTTAACTTTATATCCTTTCTATGAGGGACTGGGTTATCTACCCGGGCTTCTTCATACCAGGAATCCTTCATTGTTCTTTCTGTCTGTTTTATATGCTGCAGGTAATGTCTGTAATTCCCTTCAGAGGATTTAATAGCATCACACAGGTCATCATTCATATTAAATGTTGTCCCTTGGCTAACCCCGTTTTCAGGCTCTGTGCTTTCGCCAACATTATTCTTTTCCTCCTTAGACTTTGATGTGATAGGTATTTCATCGTCCACTTTGTCTTTAGTAGGATTCATACTGTCTCCTCGTTGTGCATCATTAAATTTCATAAAGGACTGACTGTCAACAGGCTCTTTTGTGGTGCCTTTGACTTCACAGTGAGAGTTTATAGCTTTTTCAGTGATGAGAAGGTCACTTGTGTGATTGATAGGCTCTCCATCCAGGTTATGTGCTGATTTATGGATCGCTGGAATGTGACTGATCCTCGACTGAACATTAAAATGCCACATTGTCTCCCCAACCAAATCAGCCTCGGCGGAGCTCACATCGTTTGAATGCTGCAACAAACCGTCTCCAACAAACTTCAGATGGTTTTCTCCTGAGGCTCTCTCATGCATATCCCTCTTGTCTTCCTCCTCCTCATCCTCCAAATCAATGGAACTCTGGCTGCTGCTGGATCCACTCTCCTCACTGCCACCCTTAGTGGTCAGAGTGCCAGTGCGTGGGCTGCCCCGGGACAGCCTCTCTCTCCTCAGCCGGGTCCTGGAGCAAAGGGGGCTACCACTAATGGGCTTCAGGGGAACGTGGGGCTTTAGTACTGGCAGAGCCCCAATGTCCCTGGGCCTGGTGTCTAGTGGTGCCAACAGCTTGGGTGTTCTGGGATGCAAGAGACCCTGCGAGAGCTGCAGAGAACAAGGACATTGACAGTAATTCAATGGTTAAACTATTATATGAATGAAAAGAAAAGGGAATATAAGTATAGATATACAAATAGGTAAAGCTGATATAAGGAGGTTCACCTTTTGTTCATTTCCAGTGTCTTGAGAACCCAGTCCTACAGAGAGGAAGAGATCATACGTTTAAAACAACATGGACAAGTATCAACAGCAAATAAAAATACTTGCCTGATACCTTGCCTGATTTTAAATACATTAAACCACAATTAAAATTCATACAATCAATCTCAATACAGGTATTTATATATTATATACAACAGTTTCCTTTTTATAATATTTATAACATGCACGATGGAAATTAAACTCCTCCTCTGATCTAAAAATAATGCTTTGTAATTCTTAAAAAATAAATAAGTCAAAGCCGTGATAGCTATGATTATGTTATTCTGAGGTTTATACACTTGAGTTGTACATTTACATACGGGTCTGGATGTGTGCCCTGGCCTGGATCATAGTGTTTGAACACAGTAGTGGTTCCATGATGCTGGGGGCTGATTGGCTGAGCTGGCTGGATTCAGCCACAGACAGCAGGCCGGGGGAGGATGGGGAGCCAACAACCACACTTCTTGTTCTCTGTCTGTGAAGGACAAATAGAAATCAGATTTTTAAAGATTTTGTGTGAGTGCTACAGCTGTATTGTGTTTTCTGAATACAATAAAGTGTAATTTTCAGGATACGGAACGGCAGTAGGATTTCAACTGCTCCCTAGCAATAAATGCATATAATATAGCTGTTTTTAAACATTGATGATCAAATATTAATAGCTCAGTAATTCCTTTTGATTACCGTAATAATTACTTTTCACTTTTGACTGTATTACTTGTGTCACATTCCAGCCACAATAATTAAAGAGAATAGGAGATGCGGGGGCTGGGAGTCAAGCCAAAGAAAAAGGTGTGCAGAGGGAGTAAAAGTGTAACCAAACCCTAAACCTTTAAACTTGAAATCTTGGTTCAGATATCTGTTTTCTTTTTATTTGATAAGAAAGAATTAAGAAGTGAGTGCTGTGACAGTAAAGTCAGATTCTTCTTTGTTTTCCCAGTCAAAAGAGACTGACACATTTTTCACCCTCTTTATATGGCATAGTGACAAGCAGGGTAACGATGAGTCCAGCTACATTACGTACCTGTGTCTGGGGGGCACAGGCAGACAGGAGGTCCTAGTACTCAGCAAACCAGATGATGGAGCAGGATCCAGGTGGCTCCAGCGCCTGTGGTTGTTGCTAAGACTCGGCAGAAACAAACCTCCCCTGAAAAGTAACACAGAAACACGGTTAATTTTTCCCTTGACAAGAAAAGTGTATGGATGGGCCTCCCAACTAAGAAATTCTCATGAACAATACTACAATAAGAATTCCAAATGCTGATGCGTTTTATTGCCCTGTGCTGAAGTGAACATAATGTCAAAAGCCTCATTTTTCTCCCATCTCTCTCTATTACTGGAAGCTGCTCTGAAATTAGAGACCTGCTACAAAGACCTTTATTCTCCTTGGAGAGTTTGGACTTGATTCAGTGGTGAGAGCTCTATGTAACAGACAATGGGCTGATTCACCAAAGCCCTCTCTCCCCCTGTTTCTGTGTTTCTAACCTGTTTGGGTAGAACAGGTTGTCCTCTGGACACAGTGACAGGTGCCTGCATACAGGACAAGAGTGTAACCGGATAGGCTACTTGTCTACTGTTGATGTAGAAGTAAAGGGCAGTTGACGAGCCCGGGAGAGTGTGCTGTCTATGCAAGTTGTGCAATTGTGTGTTGGGGGGATGGAGTGTTAACTGTACGCACATAACGTGTTTGTGTGTGCACAACTGTTTGTGGTTACGTATGAACAGATGTTGATGTGGTCATGTGTCAATACTGTCAGCTTAGTGCCATCAGTTGTAAATTAGGGCTTCTTTATAGCTTAAGAAAAGTGCACATGAGAATGTGTGTGTGTGTGTGTGTGTGTGTGTGTGTGTGTATGTGCGTTTGTAAAAGATTATGAGATTTCACTCTTCCCACCTGCTTCCCCTCCCTGTGTCCTGGTAGGCTTGCCTGATGTCTCTCAGCGTTTCCATGGCGTTTTGGAAACAGGGGGGGATTCCCTTATCTGCTTCAAACACACACACACACACAAACACACACACACACACACACACAGTTACACCCACCAATCCTACATCCACTGTTACACACAAATGTAAAAACTCAGTTACATATACCGGATTTATCAACTCACAGAAGCCAATTATTGTTCTCTACATTAAAACAAATTTGTTTGGAAAAGTCTATCACCATTACTACAAAAAAACACCACAAAACTTAAATAGCAACAAAATAAACTTAATTTCACATTGCATTTCCTTAACAGTTCAGTGTTTTTGAAGCAGCTTTACAGTATGGAGAATTCAGAAATGCTACAGAACAATGTTACTCTCATGTTCAGGAAGTTCAGGTAGCACCTTTATCAATTGACAGGATACAAATTTTGTGTATTTCTACATTTCAAAACCACATCATAACACTGGACTGTACCTTGATAACCACACTCCTGCTGCTGCTCATACAAAATATGCAATAATAATATTCATATACAACATTGATGCTCACTATAGAGAAAACAACAGTTGTTACCTGTTTCTGAGCTTGTTGGTCCACTCTGCTCCCATATCGAGACCACATTTTAGGACTGACCAGATAGTTCCACTGTCTGTTTACCCAATTATTACACCTTTATTCTGTTTTTTCCTGTCTGTATTCTCAACATGTTTATTCCTCCCTGTGACACACACTTGTAGTGATCTGATCTACTCTCTCTATGTCTCAGCCATGCTGTTGTGGCTGAGGTTCATGACAGGCAAGCAGGTTTCCCAGCTGAGAGGTCGTATTGTGTGAGAGACCCCTCCCACCCAGTCACGCCTCCCTCCTTTTAGGAGGTGATTTGATCTGATGCCCTATTTGGGAGCTGACCATTTTGCTTTAAAAGGCCAAAACCGGTTTAAAATGTTGACCTTTTTAGCATCCAGGGCACCTATTTCACATTGTTTTCTCTTCAGCCCACTGAGAAAAAAGAAAAATCTCACTCTAATTTCATACATCAATAGTCTACACCTAAGCCCACTAAACCCACTTAAACCTCAGGAGTCCTTGAAAAGAGTCCTTACCTTGGCTGAGGCCTTTATGATGCTCAGATAGAGGAGGGTACCCTGGAGACTCCAGCACTTCCTGGAACGAACAAAAGTGACCAATTCTTTTATTATATGTCCCAGTCAAAAACAGAGGCTGATAGACGTCATGCAGGACCTCAGTGGCCAGAAATGTCAGTGTGATTTTTTTTAATTCATGAAACAAAAAAGACAAAACTGCTTTTTTCAAATAAGTAAGTTAGAGTAAATAATGCTATGTGCATCCTGTATTGGATATTCTTAAAGCTTGTTCAGAGTATAGAGGAAGGAGAGATTACAAAAACCTCAATACTTCTACCAAACCACAATGGCATGCATCTGATTTTACAGTTGTTGGATTTCATTGATATTGTTACCAACGTATGATCGAGCTTTTGCACATGGACAGAGGCAAATCTTTAGATTTAGATATAGCTCTTTTGGTGGTTTGGAAGTCAACTTAAACATTACAATTTTTATGTTTTTTTTATTTATTTTAAATAAACTCGATATAAAGTTTATTTTTAGTCATTTTAACACTACACACGTACACATACATTACAGTTGAGTTTGTCAGTGATCCGTATACTGTGGCTTCTCCCCGTAAACCACCTGCTCTTCTGTCCCAGCTAACCAGCTGGCCTGCTCTGCTCCATCTACAAGGACACTCGTAATACGGTAGGATGGCAGCTAAGTGTCAGCCACCCAGAGCACCCCTCCTCCACACACACGCCTAACTAAACAAACAATTACTGCTTCCACATATTTGTCTTCTGGGTGACTATAACTGCCAGTCTGCCTGTGTGTCTTGTGGCTACTTGAGAGTTACAGTCCCTCTGCTCTCAGACACACATGTAGATCATCATTAAGGTAGACCATTGGGCTGTTGTTGTCCTAAAATCTGAACAATTCAATCAATCAATTACTGAATACAAGCAGCATCTCTCCCAAAGCTTTGGAAAATAATGACAAAAACCTTGACATCTGGATGCAGAAGGGACATTTTAAAGCATTTTCTTCTTGTGCTATTTATCACTTACCCCTGTCTGGCTGTATAGTAGAAAGTGGTGTTGCTGGGTTGGTGTCTGCGTGGGGGAGGCAGCTGTCGACTGATTAGGATAAAGGGTCTCAAGGTCCAGCTCTACGTCTGAATCTCCAAACTCTGAATCCAAATCCTGGCACGAGTATTTGTCGAGGGCTAGGAGGGACATGGGGGCAGCATCTGTGCAAAATCAGAAATAATTCTAAAACTTGCCTATATTGACACATAAAGAAGTGAAGAAACTGTTTTTTCTAGTTACAAACACAGCAGGTCAGGAATTTATAAACCTCCAAATCCAAGTTTGGTGTCCACACCTGTGGACTTTGTTCTGTTTACACAAGGTGAGGATTTAGAAGTGTTTTAAAAGCCTAAAAACAGCATTTACCACAATGTTTCACCCTTCACTGCGTTTTTTTCTGCCCTCTTTCTCCTGTGTCACCTTGTTTCTGTGTCGCCATAACTGATACAAACTGACTCACACACTCTCATGAGGGCACTGGGACGCGTGGTTGCTCACACACACACACACACACAAACAAGCCTTTCTTATACCCTCCCACATAAGTGCAGGCTTTGAGTGCAACTGCAGAGGTTTTACTCTGAAAAACAGGGTTATGAAACTAAACTAACTAAAATTGGTATGCTGTTTGTGTGTGTGTACCTGTATGTGTGTGTGAAAGAGAAAAAAGGGTGCTACACATAGTCATGAATGGGAAGCTATATTTAGATGCGTGTAGGCTACGTGTGTGCATATATGCTACATACTTTGTATTTAACACCCAGAGATTCTGTATAGAACATACAAAAGAGAGCACTGTAGTGCTATAGTGCAACAATAATGTGCAGGATCCTTTTCATCAAAAACTTAACTGCATAATTCTAATCAGATTATTAATATTTTCTTGGAAGAAACATGAGAATTTACACATAACTAGATAATCCTTACTTTCCCAAAGCAGATCACATGAACTGCTGGAAGTAAGATTATAATGTTCCCACAATTTTAAAGCAGCATTTGTAGATTTATTTCATTTTAGGGCTTTAGAACAAATCATCACATTTGCCAGCAAACAGTTACCTACTTACCTTGTGTCTTCCTTACTTTTGGTCACCAGACAAATGTATTCACTCTTCTTTTAACTTTGTTTTGGTCTCCACCCAACTCCTGAGAGAAGTATTTGGATATTTAGCTTCTAAATGTTCCACTATGTTCACTTGCTAGTTACTGGTAATGTGCAGTCAGTTTATCAGAGACTTTTTTACTGAAACAGCTGCCTGCTGCAGTTTCCAGAAGAAACTTTCCACTGCCTGTAAAACCAAAACAATGAGCTGAAAGATGCTAAAAGGCTCTGTAGAGCTGAGGGAGACTGTTAAGTTGGGTGATAATTCTCTGTGCGATTGTCACTATGAGACAATCACATTATATAAAGTAATTTCCTCCAGTGTTTATAGATAAATAATTTAGCTTTAAACTGTGACTAACTCACTCATGTTGACTGATACATGCTTCTTTTGTCCGGGTGTGACTGAAGTGTCAGAAGTTGGTAAGTGTATATGGTACCTGTGTGACTTAGGGCCTCGACCATCATGTGAATGATCTCCTCCTTCAGAGGGCTGTTGATGTTTGCAGCGTAGTGGGGAGCAGAGCAGCCACTGTGGTCTCGTACTCGCAGATCACTGAAGTTTAAAGACGGGATGGAAAATGGGACTTAGTCTATGTACACATTTTTTCTGCCTCCAAGAACTTATTTTAAAATCAATTTAATTTGGTTTTGTAATGTTACTTGATGCCAATCTCAGGAGGTGTGACTCTAAGAATATATATATAAAATATAGCCTATACAGTATATCAATGCATGTATGTAGTGTGTGTTTCTTACACCGAGAGTCCCAGCAGTTCCTTGACCACCTCCACAGGTCTGTGTTCCCATGGCAACAGTGTCGCTATGCCCTCAAACAGGTCAATGTCCCTAACAGCAAGCATCACAGCTGTCACGCCGTCGCTGTTAGGCACATTCACATCCACCCTGTCTGTCTGAGACTGATACACACAGACAGACACAAACACACACATGTAACAAACATGAATAATACATCACACACTAGCTTGGAGTAACGTATAAAGTGCTAAGGTCCCAGACAGGGGAGCATATAGCACACATATACATAGACAACTCACCTTTAATTCCCCCCCAGCATTATGTATAGCTTTAGTTTGTTGTCTATTTTAATCTAGAAGTTAAAATGTTAACTTAATGTCAAAAAACTGTTAACACACACACACATACACCCAAATCCTGATTTGTTCCAGAAATATATGACATCACCTTTCTCCACTTCCAACAAGTGAAACAAGTGCAGAGAATCTTGTTTCATTTGAGAAATAAGATTAACTCAGTTTATGTTTTAAACACCCAAAGAAATGCATGTGCAACAGCAGTAAATACATTTGGTGGCCATAAACAGAAAACCCACAGTCCCACACACTATTCACGTAGTGCCTGCCATTTAGATTAATCTCATTGTTTAAATGAAAAGCACCTGATGAAATGTCTCACATTTCCAGTTACACAAAGTCACACGAGGACATCATGAGACTGGCAGGCCTGTTTGTTGTCCTGAGCTGAATAAGACTCAGGAATGCGTTTTCATTTTCAAATTTGTCAAAAAATGCCTCATGAATTCTGTGAGTTGTTGATGTTATTGTGTTTTTTTATTTTCAAAATGTTCAGAATTCTTTTTGATTAAATCCTCAAATACCCCTTTTTCTTCTTTAGAGGTTTATACATATTTTTAGTCAGGAATCCATGCCAGAAATCAGTTTCAGTACAACTGAACCTTTGCTTGGCAGGTATACAAACAATTACACAACACACATTACACATGAATGTTTTTGTAACAGGAAAACTTTGTTGTCTTTGCTCAATAGGGAAATCCTCTACCAGTTAATCTGTATCTGTGGGGGAGTCTTACCAGCAGGTTCTGTAGGGAGTGCAGGTCTCCCTGCCAGGCAGCCTGCAGCAGCTGTGCCTGGGGAGGCAGATGAGGCCTCAACATCCACCCCAACACTTTTCCCTGGAGCTCAGGAGGGCTCATGTGGAGCGCTGTCTGCTGACTGTAGTTGCACAGGGTCATATCAGCCCCACCCCTCAGCAGCCGCTGTACCACCTGTTAACAACACCAGCAGGTAAAACAGTCAATTAGGAAAGTTAGTAGACTTTTGTCAGATTGGCTTGATAGATTAAAATAGTTATTTTTAAAATTGTGTGAAGTTACATAAATTCTCTTCACTCGTAAATGTGTAAATTCTGTCAATAAAATGACTTGGTGCTCATATTTACCTCATCTATTCCAGTATTTCTGAAATACCTTGTGAATGTGCAGGTTTTTGCACACCTTTCATACCAAAGTATTGCTAAATATCAGCCGTGATTTAATCTCACTCCACAGGGGGCATTAAATCACAGGGGGGGGGGTCACGCTGTCCTCTGTTTACCGGTAAGTCATATGTTTGTTTTGAACACAACCTCCCCGAGAGGATGCAGAGGAGTTACGTAAGGAGCAACATTAGGGTCACGTGGATCTCTCATGCACATAACAGGTAGTATTGTTATTGATAGGAAAAATACAATCGGTCATGGAGGAGAACCTCTGACATGTTCACCTGTAGGAATATTCCAATGAACAATAGATGTTTTTCCCTGCAGCCGTTTTGACATAAAATAGTAGGGGAAACACAGCTTTTACTAACAATGATAATTAATGTTTCTTTTCATTCTCAAACAGAGTGAGGGTGCTGCTATTGTGCATGTTGACTCTCTGGAAAGGCTCTGCTACACTAAATAGAACGGTACCTTCATTATATAAACACCTGTGTTTACCCTACAATTGAATGCCAAAATAGCTGCTGTGAAAAAGGTCCAATTTGCTACGTAATATAACAGATTATAATCCATGATTATACAACAACAGATGCCAAACTCTCTGTCTCACATACATATACATGACTTACCTCAGTCATGCCTTTATGACAGGCAGTGATGAGGGGAGTGGATCCCTCCTCATCTTCAGTGTCGGAGACCTCCAGCTCCTCCTGGCCCTCCACCTCTTGTCTGAGGCTCTCAACCAGGACATTTTCCTCCTCCTCTTCCTCCTCTCTTTTGAGCATCTCATCAACACTCCTTCTCTCCCACGTCTCACTTCTCTCCATAGTTCACAGGTTCCCAGTTAGATCTGTGTGAAGTGCAGCCAGACAGAAGAGCAGAGTCTGAGCAGGAGGTCAGATAAGACTTGAGTGTTTTTGTTGTGACGGAAAAAGACAAATGAGAAGACAAAATGACAAATAATTGTAAACACTGCAATGAAATATCTGATTTAGCTCTTCCAGCTCGGTGTCGTAGTTAGTCTGTGTGTTTGTGTGATCATTGCTGTGATGTAAGCCCTGTGATGTAGTCTCTAATGATCCATTGGTCCCAACAGAGACAGTACAGAGGAGTTATTCTTTCACATAATTACTGCTGGTGAATCACCATAATTTACATCATTATCCATTAAATTAGCTTTTCCACCAATGACTGGGTACATGTGTTCACGTACATGTGCAGGAGTCCGCCTACCTATGTGTGTGCCCACTAGGCATGACTCTTAAAAGGCTGAACTCCCTCTGGTTTAATGTTTGACAACACTAACAGAGCAGCAGTCAAGATGGCCGAAGTGTCAAATAAATAAACTCGTAAAAAAGTTATTAGAAAGGAGCCTTTTGGAACATATGAAAGAACTTTTTAGATTTTTCATATTTGTTTGTGTTGCTCCTCATTGACTATCAGCAGCTTTAAATTTAGACTAGCAACAATGAAATACAGTGTTTAAATGAACTATCCTTACTTACTGTAGTGATGTCATTTCTTCACATTCCCTGATGAATTAATCCAGCCATGTGCTTTATCCCACTTTCTGTGGACATTTGACAAGCAAACCTTTGGTTCTTTTCAACAGACTCTCCGCTCTAGTGTTTCCTCTCCTTTCTTCTTTCCCCCCGCACGCCTCCTGCTGTTGGTTTACACTTGGTTGCCTTGGAGATGGTCAGACAGACAGGCAGGCAAGCAATTGGTTTTAAAGCCTGTTGTCTGACACGTTGAGAGAGAGTAATGTGAGAAGTACAATTTTGAGATACTCGTGCTTTACTTAAGTATTTCAATTTTCTGCTTCTTTATACTTCTATTCCTCTACATTTCAATGGGAAATATATTTTACTTCATTATTTTAAAACTTTACTTTGCAGATTCAGATAATACAAACTATAATTAAACAAATAATTATAAAGTATAGCGGCTGCAACATTAAATTAACACATTCATGCATCAATAATTACTATCAAACCATACAATATAGATTATTCTGAAACTGGCCATTCTGCATATTGAGTACTAAAAATAAAAAAATTTTGAATACATGACATTTACTGATATTTACTTGCCAGTACTTGTACAGCACAGTACAGTGCTTGTTTTCATACTCATACTGATATGAGACCTTCACTAATATTATATTATACTTCCCTTCAGATGGTTACAGGTCCTCATGATGCAGTCTAAAGGACAACTCCACACTAGAACTCGCATTGACAAAAAACCCTGCTGTACTGACCTCTGTGGGTTAAAAGATGTAAGTCTGTTAAACTTCAGACACCTATGAAGCAGGGGTGGGTCTAGAGAGAAATATATGCTAGTTTAATCAATCAAATATATCAATATTTGCCAACCATCAGTGGTTTTGTTGCCTCTGTGTCATCCTGATTGACCTTATCCTCAGATCCTGACTCTCTGTCGGTGGAAGATGATTTTACAGTCTGAGTTTTCCATGCTGTCATTTCATTTTCTGAGTTTTTTTTATCTGGGAGCTTCTGTGGTTGCTCTCATGTAACATCACAAAGCCCCACAAAGGTAGGCCTATTTGGCACAACATAAAACAGCACAGGTGTAGCTAAAACTACATCCCCTACCAACCCACGTAGATGAGTCATCTTCATACAAATGAATGTGCCTTTTCACACTGGGTTCAAAGTGAACTGCAGCAACTCTTTATACACCTCAAATGGCGCCAACAAGCTCTATATTTCCAGCTTGATTAATCCTGCAAATTAAATGTGACAAAAACTCGAGGGGACTACACAGAGAATTGTGTTTTTATTATAATGGAAAAACAATATCCATTTATTTAATCTTATGTGGATTAAACTGCTTGTTCTTGTTGAATGGTATGTTTCTGTATATTAATTATCGTATCAAAATTTCACATTCATTTTATCTGTGTTTGAGGGTCAAATTGGTGGTTAAAAACAGTTATGCACAGTGATGTGTTTCTACTTTCTGGACCTTTCTTGATGAGCCACAAAAACAGAGGCAAAATTAGGTTCCTGCTGCAAGCCATGAAGTTTGCCAGTTTGACATTTGTTTTTAAGTGTTTTGGGGAAAATTTGTATTAAAAAGGTTGTTGAAAACATCTACAATGTTTCCATTTAATTGAAACATGGAGTGGCATTTGAATGTTTCATGCAGAGTAAACTCTTAGAGGTAAATGATAGTTTGGAACAGAAAAAAGTTAATTTTCTAACATGAAATCAACCTAGAAACTGGATTTTAAGAGGTTAACAGCAGACTCAAAAGGAAACAGCATAGTAAATTGAGTGAGGCAGATCCAAATATAAACTGCTGGTTTGCTGCAGTAGTAGTAGTATTCCACTGATGATTTTTCCCCCTCTCACAATTAACTGCATTGAACTGTGAAAGAAAAACACCTTTACCTTTTAGGAAGCGCATATAAGGATCAAAAACACACATATTTGATCTCTCCTGTATAATTACATGAAAAAGAAGGAAAATCAGGCTGAGAAATTGTCTAAACTGTAAAAATAATTAAACAATTAGAAGTTAATTAGAAGTTATTTAGAAGTTATTTGATCCTTACCATATATGCGGATGTAAATGAAATTAAAGAGAAAACATACAAAACATGAGGAAGGCTACATCAGCCCACACAATGAACAATTAGGGCTCCTGTAAATTGATGTCCACTTGCGCTGCAACACCCAGGAGGACTACAAGATGGCGGTGTCGGGCAACTGTGGACCCCTCCAATCCAAACTTCACCTGTCTTCACATGCGCACCACAGGTGGAATATTCTACTTTGCCACAATCACTTTTGGTGCACATTGCGCTCTTCACCCATTATATTATGTGGCTTCAGGAAATTACGTTTAGAGGTTGTTTGTGGAGAAGTTTGACCCACATTTTTTACTATCAGGCAAAATGACTCCATCCACACTGTCCTATGGTGACACTAGGATATCTAAAAGTCTGTGCTTCTCTCTCTGTAATAATGCTATACTTGTATTCTGTTTCAAATGGTATCACAGCATTTTCCAGAAATACATTTAGCTATTCAATTGATTAATTTATGAAGTGTTTTGTCATAGGCTGCTTTGTGTCCGATTAACCAATGGAAAAGTACCATAAGGAGTCCCATGCCTCCTCCCTCATCCAAACCACCCTCACTTCCCCTCCGTGCGCAGTAATTGCTGTGTTTGGGTCTATCCCGTGTCACCCGCAACCGTGTTCTCCCCGAGAGAAGCAGTGAACCCTAGTTGACACAGTCTCTCAGCTCCACCGGTCCCAGGCTGGTGCGTCCCGTTGCGCACAGCTCAGCAGTTTCCCAGCACTGCACACTTCGCAGGCGCTCTCCGGATTACCCAAAAAACCTCAGGACGGCTGGTGGGAAAGATTGCTACAACTTTACGAGTCAGTATGTTTCATGTCTGGATGACAGAGGATCGGTGACAAGAAGACTCGGGGGAGTTCAGGTACAGCAGGAAGAAGGACGAGTCTTGGCTCCCCCCCCCCCCCCC